GTGAAGTTGGGAAGCAAACCGCTTTGCTCCCCAAATTTGATCGCTGCATCGGCGTCGTCGGCCTCTGCTGGTAAACCAGATTGGCTGACGCGCGCGCAAACCTAAATTGCTGTTCGTCGAAATTTCCACCTACGCACGATCGAACATAAATTATGATGCGTCGTAGTGCTACCTACCCACGTAAGACGCATCCGCGCATCGAAACGTGCGCCTGAAACAAGGCACAACCAAGCACAAGCTGAAACAAAAGAAAGTCGCACACTCAATTGTCTAGCGATGGTGACCAACCCAAAAACAGGTTTCCAGCGGTTGTTGATGCACCCCGCATCTTGGGGCCCTCTTGAAGCGCTCTTGGGAGCCTTGGGAGCGCTCTTGGAGCCCTCTTGGGCCATCTTGGAGTCATCTTGGAGCCTCGGATGGCCATCGGAAGCGAAAAGGCGAGAAAGCCCAAAACATTGACTTCCCTTAGTTTTTGGAAGGATTTGGGCCTCTTTGGGGGGGTTGTGGGGGAGCTCTTTGGCCACTTGGAGCCGTCTTGAAGCGGTCTTGGGGCTGGTTGGAGCATCGTGGGAGCCATCTTGAGGCATCTGGGGATATCTTGAGCCATCTTGGAGGTCATCTTGGGCTCTCCCAGGCGCTCGTGGAGTCATCTGAAGCAGTGCCCTCCCCCCAGGAGGCCCAAATCTGGCAAAAACCTTCGTAAAATCAGTGATTTTGGCATTCTCGCCGAGGCCTCTTGGAGTGTCTTGGGTGTCTTTGGGGGGTCTCTTGGGGCCTCGTGGGGGTCTCTTGGGAGCCTCTTGGGGGCATCCTGGGGGCCTCTTGGGGGCTTCTTGGGGCCACATGGGGTCATCTTGGGGCCATCTCGGGGCCTCTTGGGGTGCCCCTGGTGTCCGGAGCTCCTCTGCTCTGCGCGACACCTATGGGCGGAGTGCCCGCGCTTCGCCGATGCCCGTGCCCGCCTCGGCGCGGAGGCCAGCGTCCTTTCGGATTGGTGGGCGGCCCAGCCCCGGGTCACGGCCAAGTCTGACTGGATCACGATCAGGGCCGGGCCCTCGGTAGAGCGCCGGGCGGCGCTGCAGGTGGTGGCGTGTCGCCTCGGCCTCGAGGTCCTTCGAGCCACCCCTCCCTCCCCCTCCCAGGCGTTCAGCGACTGCTCCGCGGAGACGCCGGGCGCGGCTGCGGAGGTGGTGGCGGCGTGGGGGTTCCGCGGTGGCGAACCCGATGGCGGCCCTGGCGGCGACGGCCCTGGCGGCGACCCCAGCTTCGCTGAGGCGGCGGCGGCGGTTGTGGCGTCGTGGGGGCTTCGCCGTGGCGGGCAGGACGGCGACCCCGGCTGCGTTGGCGGCCCGGCTGGCGGCGGCCTGGATGGCGACCGCAGCGACAACCTCAGGGCGACCCCGCACGACGGCGGCCCCGGCGATGCCGACGACGTTCCCGACGACGACGTTGACGCCGACGGCTCCTTTGCCGACGACACTGGTAACGGCGACCCCGACGACGACCGCGGCCTTCCGCCCCCCGCTGGCGGCCCCTACTCCCACGGCGGCGGCGGGCGCGACGACCGACGGCGGCCCCGCCACGGAAACGGCGGCTCTGGAGGCGACCCGGCGGCGGTCATGTCGAAGAGGCGGCGGGCGTGGCTGCGGCGGCCCCACGACGTCGACGACGACGGCTTCCCGCCCGCCCCCGGGTCCCCTGGCGGTGGTGGCGGTGGTCCCGGTGGTGCGACAGGACCCGTCGTCTGCACGATTCCCGCCTCTCGCGAGGACGCTCCGCCTCCTCCTCCTCCTCCGCCTCCTCCGCCTCCCCAAAGGGGACGGCGCCACTGACGCCGACGGCGGCTGCCTCTCGGCCGCCTCGTGACCCGGCGCGTCGGCGCCGCCGCTTTCGCAGCGGCGCCGCTCATTTGATTTCCACGGTTTTCGTTCAAGCAGCTAAGACACAGGCATCTTGCTGCTTTGCATGCTGTGCGCGGGCCTCCTGGGCGCATCTTGGGGCCATCTTGGAGGAGATCGATCACAGGAGGGTGGGGGGCTCAATTAGCCCCCCCCCTCAGGAGGCCAAAATGGGGCCAAAACCTTAGTAAAACAAATGATGTTGGCTTCCTCGCCGAGGCCGTTTTGGATGCTCCAACGCGTCGCGGAACCCCCCGTCCAGGTCCAGGGGAGGGGCAGGGGGAGCACGGGTCAAAAGCCGCGCCCCGCCCGCAAGCCGCCTCGTTCACCCCCACCCGCCCTCCTGACACATACGTAGCACCCGAGTCTGGCCCGGACGACTTATTCATAAGGAAAGTGAATGAAGGGGAAAGTGAGGATGAATGAGGGGGAGGAAAACGAGGATGAGTGGTTGGGGGATAAGGAGGAGAAGGAGGAGAAGGAGGAGGAGGAGGAGGAGAAGGAACGAGGGGAGGAGCGAGGGGAGGAGCGTGGAGGAGGATGCGAAGGAGAGGAGGAGGAGGAGCAATGTGCAATGAGCAATGTGCGGGGAGTTCAAATGAGTTGCTCGACCTCATTCAATAACTTGGTAAGAACTTTGCGCAACCCGATTTAGACGTATGCGGGCTGACTGTATGAAAGACGGGGGGAACCCCGCTGGCGGGACCAGCATTGCCCCCGAACGGTGGAGAACTTCCATGGCGCCGCGCAGGCTTGCTGGAGAGAACCACCTAGGAGGAGGAGGAGGAGGAGGAGGAGGAGGAGGAGGAGGAGGAGGAGGAGGAGGAGGGCGGAGGAGGAAGAGGAGGAGGGCGGAGAAGGAGGGCGGAGGAGGAGGAGGAGGAGGAGGAGGAGGAGGAGGAGGAGGAGGAGGCACACCTCTCGAATTGTTCCATTACGGCGTGCCCACGCGATTTCCCTCCCTCCTTGCCGCCGCCTTGGGCCCGAGCGGCGCGCCTCCCGTGGCCCGCGCGCGCGGGCGGTGGGCCGCCCCCCGGGCCAGCCCCTCTGGCCTGGCCGGCGGGCGCGGCCTCTCCGGGCGTCGGGGAGCGGCCTTTGGGCGTCCTGGGGGGACTCGGGGGCGGCGGCGGGGGCGGCGTCAGGTCGGGGGTGGCCTCGAGTCGGGTGTTGCTAGAAGAGCCCCTGGCCCCAAGGTGCCCCCGGGATCCCCAAAGAGCCCCCCACGGCCTCCAGAGCACCCGTCAGGAGGCCCAGAGGGCCCCATGGGCTCCGAAATGAATCGAAGCTGGGGGCACTTTGGGCCAGGGGCACCTTGAGCAACCGTTGAAAGAGGGGGCGATGAGAGCAACACTCCGCGAAACGCAGCCCAAGTTTTGCCGACCACCCCTCGCCCCCAAGTTCAATGTTCAGTTGCGCGCGCGGCACAGTCATCGGACGCCGACGCAAAATGTTGAAGCCATTTGCTTCGGCATCCGCATTGAAGTTTGGGGGGTCTGCGGGTGCCAATGCGGCGTAGGAAAAAATTGCTCTAAGTTTTTGGCAGGGGGTTCATGATATCTCATGATATCTCCTCAGATTTCGCGGCGCCCCCTCCTCCTTTCAACACGCGCCCTGGTCACCCCTAGCCCGCGCGCATGCCTCCGCCCATGATCTGCGAACCCTCTTGGACGCCCCCCTCTTCGACGCCCCCGAGCTAGGGGGCGATGGGCTCAGGGGGGGAAAGTTTCGGGCTCGCGGCTCTCAAGGGCTTTCGTCCGTTCCTGGCGGCTCTCCAGGCGTCTCTTCCAGCCTCGCGATGCTCTCCAGCAGCCGCGCCTCGCTAGGGGGCGCTCAGAGGTGCCCAGATCTTCCCGAACGGCTGCCCGAGACCCGACGTACACAGGGCTCGCGACCTTATTGCCATTCCTGGGTATGTGCGCGCGGTTCGGGCTCGACATGTGCATTCGTTGTGCGGGCATGTGCGCGGCATGAACCCCGCACGCGCGGATGTTCATGATATCGGAGCGTCATGATCTAATGGCATGTGCACATGTGCGGGGGCAGGCACTCTGGGGACACTCGGGGGCGATGGACCCTCCGACGACGACGAGGATCATCGGACGATCATCGGGGGGGATGGGATCAGGGGGGGACGCATCGACACCCGATCGCCCCATCGTCGCCGATAGGGACCTGAAAGCCCACCACGTCCAGGGCGTTCGGTTTCGCAGTCGGGGCCATACCGGCGATGTGTCGCCGCTTCCAGCTCAAGGCTTCCTCCCCTGAGCCAGTCTCCCCCTCTTCGTTCCCCCCTCAAGGGCTGAAGCGGGGACGGAAATAATGGGAACGAATACTTCCAGCGCGATGCAGAACAAGTCAAGATAGCTTTTCGCCCTTGCGGGGTCCCAGGGCCGTCAGAGAACGATGAGGGGCGAAGCGCGGGTCCGCAGCAGGTGGTCCAGAGGTCCAGAGACTCCGTATTGAAACGTCAATGCAGAGAGAATGGTGGCAGCGCGCACAGGGAGAGGGAGCGCTAGGGGGGAAGGTTTCTAAGAATGCGGGGGGCTTTTTAGAAGGCTTGGGCCTCCTTCGAAAAGAAGGCTTCTTAGAAGCTGGGAGGGCTTCCAACAAGCCCCCTGCCTTAGTAGAAGTTTCGCGCCTTCCTGTCAGGCTTTCCTCCTCGCGCCACCCCCTTGTGCGCGCCACCAGGACTTGGGAGGAAGAGCAACAGCAGATCCAGCTCATTGAAATAAAGGACTCGTTGTCCATGTCGCTGCGGACGTTTTTCTTTTGGAGCAAGCATCGCCTGGCCCACGGCGACCGCTGTTGGTTTCGGACTACAGGTTCGGGGGGACCGACATGGGTACGGAAACAATGGGTACAAGCCAAACAGCAGTTCTTGTTCATCATGAACAGGACTCGCTGTCGGCGTCGCGGCGGAACTTGTTAATTTGAGACAGCAGGCCGCCTGCCCAACAGCGGCCGCTGTCGGTTTTAGACAATATTTGTTGTTGGGCATCGTACGTATTTCTTCCGTACCCATTTCGGGCGTCCAAGCAGGTGTTGGTATGTTGGTGGCAATCGTCCGCATTTGTTTCGTCCCCATTTCGGGCGTACCAATCCATGGCCGTGGCGGCCTCCCCCGGACTGGGGAAGAGGAAGGACCTCAGGTAAGAAGAAGGGGAGGGCAGGACGGAGCAGTGGGTCGAACACAAAAGAGCAGCGCAGGCATACGTTCTGGAGATCCGCGAAGTTTTGCTGGGCCGACCTCGCTGCTGGTCCCTCCCCCACCGCGCACCGCACGCCAGGCCAGCGCCGACCCGCGAAGTCTGCGCTGGCCTCCAGAAGTCTGTGCTTACGCTTCCTGCCCTTCATGCGGGCGAGGAGGGCGACGAGGGAGGGACGGAGGCACCGGCGCGAGCGGAGAACTGGCTCGGCTGAGCTGGCCCGCAGGCGCGCCGAAGTGCACCCACAGCCAAAGCCGAAGCCAGAGCTCCTGGTGCGCAGAAAATGAAAGGGCCCACCCAGTAAACTCGAGCAGCAGCGCATCGCTGAGCTGTTCGCAGCGCATCTCGACCAAAAAACAAACGACACCACCCCATCTAAGGCCCTCCATGTTGCGCTACGGCCCATCGGGCGCCGTAGCGCATACCACGCAGAAGCCCAAGCCAGAATTCATGGTATGTGCTGAGGCCCTTGGGGCCGTGGGCGGGGTGGTGCCGTTTGTTTTCTGGTCGGGCATTGGGGAGGAGAAGGAGAAGCAGCGACTTACCCAGGATCCGTCTCCCAATGCTGGCGTGCGCGGGGGGGCGGCGGAACTCGTACTGCTCATCTCGTTTCCCGGACCCCTCTCACCACGCTCACCCGAGGCTTGCGCACGCCAAGGAGGCTCTCGCCGCGCTGCGAGTCACCATGCGGCTCAACCGGGCAAGGTGGGTCCCGCTCCACGTCCACACTGGACTCGGTCCTGCTTTCCAAGTCCCGGGCGCCCCTCGCTGCCCCATCGTGCTCGCGAAGTCGGTTGGCGCCGCGGCCCTCACCAAGGACGGTCCCTGGGGCCCAACCCCCTGCCGGGAACACGCTCGTTTTTTCTGGGACAGCGCAGTGGCATGGGCGGGTTCCGTCGACCAGCAGCTGCCCCCACCGCGGCCTGGCTCCCCGGCGATGTCGCCCGCGAAAGCCGCACGCCTCATCACCATCACTGCGACCCACCGCAACCCGCCCCGCGGCCCCGCCATCGTGAGGGTCCTCTATGCCGCATACTGGGCCTCCCAGCACAGGCGCAAGACCGCCGCCTGGTTCACCTCTCGTTCTGCCATGCGCAGGTGGGCACCCACAGACGGTAGCGAGTGGGCGGCCCCCACCGTTGCCGCATCCCTAGCTGGGGCCGTGCGCATTATGCGGGTCCTCGCTAACGGACTGCCCAGCCGCGCCAGGTGGCGGCCGCCCGCAGAGCGTGTGCCATTGCTCTGCCAATCTGACCTGGGCCTGGCCGACCACGCTTGGCATGCCCCCAGCCCTGGCGCTGCCGGGGCCGCCTTGCTGTCGTGGCTGGTCCTTGGAGCCTTGCCTCTGGGCCGCCCTCCCGCCGCACGCCATCCCCCCGCGGCTCCATGCGGCCGCCGCAGCCCTCGAGCTCGCTTGCGACTCCTTCCCGGGCCCTTCCCTCCCGCTTCGGCGGCTGCCCCCTTTGCGGCCTCGGGGAGGCGGGAGCGGAGCACCTCTGAAGTTGGTGCCTCGCGGTCGCGCTTGCCTGGGTCCTCACCAGGCCGACCAGCGCCCCGTAGCTGTCTGCGGGCTTGCTGCCCCTGGGGTTCACCCAGCCTACATCGCGAGTTTTCTGCACCAGGTCTCGTACCAGTACTGCGGCGGGCTTGACGCCCCACCCACGATCCCTATATACGCCGCGCCCCTCGTCCGCCGTGGCCCTCTCGCTCGTGCTCCTCATGCGCACGACACTGACGACGACCGCGACAATGACCACGCCCGTGCCGACCCCCCTCTCGAAGACGCCCAGTACGACCCAGAGGACGCCCGGGCGCTTTCACCCCGCCCCCGTGCCCCCGAGGGTGAACGCCCAGTACGACCCAGTGGACGCCTCGGCGCTCTTGCCAGCGAGCTCCGCGGCTCGTCCGGGGGTCCTCCTCCCGCGCCATGGATGGACTCCCTGGCCCCTCGGGTTGGTGTCTCTCTGCGGTGGTACCACGTTGCCGAGCGTCCCACCAGCGCCAACGCTGCCGCGGTTGTGCTCTTCGGGGATCCTCGCCACGGCGCCAGGCCGCCGCCCTCCCTGGGTTGGCTCCCCCCACCTCGGGTCGTCCCCCCGCAGCTGGCCACCGCCCGCTGGAAGCCCGCGCGCTGCCCAGGGTGCCGCGACCACTGGGCGTCGCTCGCAACTTCTGCCAGCATCGAACCGGGAGAGGAGATCACCGCCCCTCGCCCCCTCACCCTAGAAGCAGACACCGGCCTCTGGCCGCACGAGGTCGCTCTCGACGGCGGCGCCCGGCGCTTCCCTGGCGGCGACAAGGTTTCCAGCGGCTGAGCCACCCTCTGGCGGCACCCCGAGGACGGCACCGCCCTTGTCCAGATTGCCGCCGCCACTCTCGCTCTCCCTGGGGTCGGCAATGCTCAGACGGCCGAGGCCTCCGCCTGCAGGTGGGGGACCGCCATGCTCACCCGCACTCCAGCTATCACGCGTGCCGCTCGCATCGTCGTTGCCAACCTTCCAGCCATCAGGTACGGCGCTGGCACGGGACAGTACTGTCGCGTTCATCTGCAGGCGCAGATGGAACTCGCGCTCCTCACCGCGCAGCACCACAGCTGGACCCTCACCTGGCAGGCGGTCCGCCAGAGACAACTCCGCGAGCGACTCGCTCGCCGCCCTCGGCGTCTACTGGGCCCACTGCCTCAGGCACGCTGGCCTCACCGAACTCCACACCCACACGGTGTGCGTGTGTGTGTGTTTATGTGTGTTTGTGTTTTTGAGTGTTTTGTATGTTTTTTTGCGTTGGTGTGTTTGTGTGTGTTCGTGGGTTCGCTGATACACATATATGCGAGCCACATCAGGCCCAAGCAGGCTGTGCGGCGCACACTTCCCAGTGCGGCGGCGCGACGGGGGGGGGAGCTTCTCAGAAGCTTATGAAAAGCTTTTGAGAAGCTTCTGAGAAGCTTCTCAGAAGCCTCTCCGAAGCCTCTCATAACCTTCTCGGAAGCCTCTCAGAAGCCTCCAAGAAGCTTTTCAGAAGCCTCTCGGAAGCCTCCCAGAAGCTTTTGCGAAGCTTCTCAGAAACCTCTCAGAAGCTTCTCTGAAGCCTCTCACAAGCTTCTCAGAAGTTTCTCATAATCCTTTCAGAAGCCTTTTTCAGAAGCTCCTCAGAAGCCTCTCTGAAACTCCTCAGGAACGATAAAAGCTTTCAAAGTTTCTCAAAGATTTACCGGGGAATGTCCGATCTTCCCGGGGCAAGTCAGATTTTACCGGGAAAAGCTGTTTCTCCCATCGCGCGGGGGGTGGGCAATGGGGGGCAAACCTTCGACCATACACACAGACACACATACATACACACATACATACATACCTACATACATGCATAATACATTCAGACAGACAGACAGACAGACTGACTGACAGACAAACATACAAACATATATACAGGCAGACAGACAGGCAGACAGACAGACAGACATATACACATACATACATAGAGACATACACACACATACAAACATACATGCATGCATACATACATACATGCATACATACAGACAAACAACCAGACATACAGATAGACAGGCATATTGGCATGCATACGTGCATGCATGCATACATACATATGCACATGTTTATTTGTGGATGCATGTTCTAACATACGGGTATGACAGATGCAAGCACTTTGATGACTTTGCGTTTTTGTTCACGACGTCGAGTCTCGGCGTTCCTGGGCAGGACGAGGAGCGAGGGGGGGGCGGAAGAGAGCAGGTCGAGCGTAGGCTTAGGATCGCTGGCCTCAGTGGACATTGGCGCCCTCCCGAAGGACCCTCCCCCGGAGACGTGGCCGACCGGGGCCGACGGCGACGGCAGGTGGATCTGCTTCGTGCGGCATGCGCAGGCCCTGCACAATGTGTACGACGAGAACCTGTGGACGCCAGACAACCCCCTGACCGAGGATCTGCGACCACGCGCGGAGCCTTTTTGGATGTCGTGGGAAGTAGCGCCTACCTCCACACACACACACACACACACACACATCCGAGCGACTGCTTGTTTCAGTGCCGCTTCTTTAAGCCCCATGATGTTTAGTCGTAGACGGTTCTGGGACAGAAAAACTGTCCTTGGGGAAGGTGTCGTGACTTTTTGTGGCCGTGGATTAAACAAGTCAGTTCGTCGGATGTCTGGTATTTTCGTGCACCCCCGTAGATGTTTACTAGTTTGCAGGCGTCATCCACGTTCTGAGCCCCACCAGGGCTTCAGAAGTGCAACCTGCAGGGGTATGGTTCTATGGGGTTCACCCGTAGTTGCCCGAAGGAGTTCGGCCGAGAGCAAATGGGCTCCCCTGGTCCTCGTTTTCTTCACTTCTGATCATTCCTTCTCCCCGAAGCAATTTTGGTTCAGGCCTGATGGGCTGGCCATAGTTTGAGATTGAACTTACTCTGTGCCAGAAGACCATCGGCGGGGCCGCCGACCTTGCGCGAGGCCCCGGTGCCAGCCAGTGCACTCGCGGGCTGGCATTCGCCCGACCCCCTTGTCTGTATCAGGTCGCTCTTCAATCGGCGACTACAGAGGGTGTGATTACGCCGGGGTCTGGTTTGCGATCTGCGTCGTTGAGGCCAGGGGGGGGGGGCATCACGTTGCCCTCGACGGGCCTCCTCGGGGCGCGGCGAAGGACTCTGTC